CAGGGTTAATACCGGGTTTACAGTATTAGGGTTAATAGGGTTTCCGGTGTGAAACAAGTTGCACGAGGCTTTCATCTGTTCCCACAAAATGCCAAGTTCTTTGAGATCTCAAACTTGGTCAGCACAGGATTATCTCATAAATGTGACGAAGTCGTAACTCTGAAGGTATATTGCATCATTCTTCATTCCGGCAGTCCAAGGGATACCAGTAGCCGAAGTCTGTCGAATACCACGCCCCGACACCTACATCGAAATTACAGTAGAATATACCCCCATACCCTCCAAGCCCTATTCTCGTTATTGAGGCCCCTTAAAACCATCGGGAGCAATCTTAGTCTCAGAAACCCGACCTCCTAAGATTGGCTTTTGTTTTCTGTGGACCAAGAGCCTCCAAAACCCCTTCATTGAGGAATATACCTTGAATCGTACTACGGGATCCTACTCTAAGTATAGGGTATATTCCTAAATTACAGTAGAAGCCTGATAGTCGGAAACCCAATAGCCTCAATCCGTAAGAGTAATGTATAGGGTATCCCAGCACTATTTGGCCTTAATGCGGCTTCCAACTCTCTGGGGTTTACTGTAAGAGGTCTTGGAGTCTATGGGGACCGTGACACTTCCATCATTGCTGCGCAGAGCTGCTGGCAGTTTCAGTGATGTCCCTACCATAAAATTGGTAATTATTATTTAGGCCCCAATAGTAAACCCTTATTATAGTAGCACTTATGGCAGCCTTTGTAGACCCCTTTGAAGGAACCCATTGGTAATTCTTCAGGCGCCTATATCACTGACCCCTGGGCTCCAGGCCGGTGAAAATCCGGGGACCGTCTCTGGGACCTGCTGAGGCCCTGTATCTCCGTCGACGGTGCACTACGATTGCCTCGAACCAATATATGCTTTAAATCTTTCGGCGAGGCTTCTGCTGCAGTATACTCACCCGAAAAACCTGGAAAAGGACATCGGAGCATCTTGTTCGCAAAAGCTTCGGCCGTTGCATTGTCGTTGGCTTCGTGCACAGATGAGCTCCGTAAACAACGTGGGTGTGTGGCTACCAATGCCGTGAAGATCGAGCCAAGCAGCTGCCGAGGACAAGTGCCACAAATCATTGAAGCTAGCAGTGGAAACGGATGTGCACAAGTACCAGTACATAAACAACTGTGTGTATATATATATATATATATGTATATGTCAATGTGAACAGAGCAAAGACAACAGCTGATTAATGTGAATGCCAATGTAATGATGTCAAAACCAGTCTACATAAATTGAAGACCCAAACATAGGCAAAGCTGAGGAGACATGTGAAGATGAAAAATTGTACATCCATGAACATACGTATATAGATCTATACACATGTATACATGTATACATATATGCATATGTACATACATATATACATACATATAGACATATAACCATGCATACATACATACAGAACTACATACAGAATTACATACATACATACATACATACATACATACATACATACATACATACATATACATATATATATATATACTTTTATACTTATGTTCATGTATACACGTGTCCGTGTGATATGCGTATATACATATATACACATGTATGCATGTATATATACATCCATATACATACATGTACGCATATATATATATATATATAGAGTCCGGGGGACTGTGGGCGTGCGCTTTTTTGAAGTTGTTTGATTCTGTATTTGTTGCTAGCTTGCTTTATGCTGGAATTGTGATGGTACAAGCACATTATATTGTTTTATGGAATCCATCAGAGACCCACTCGTGCCCGCATTCATGTTGTGGCTAGTTGGTTTGCTGGTCATATGTCCAGTCTAAGGGTCAAGCGACCAGAGACACGGCCCTAGTTGCTGATCTTCCCGACTCGTGCTAACGGAAAGTATAAGACTTTTCCGGCACCCTGCAATATCTAGTACCAATACTGCTATTTGTGTTTTGCATTATAACAAGTTTGGACCTCAGTACATACTGTTTGCATCATATGATTTGCTTCGTTAGTTTTATCGGGCTGAGGACACATAAGCATGAATACTAGTATTCTGTTCTATTGTATTACTTCCAAATATGTCATAAGTTGCAATCACATATATGTGTATTTGTATATGAACATAAGTTATATATATATGAAGAGTATATGTGTACGGATAAGTATATATATGTATATATATATATATATATCTGTATACATGTATGTGTGAAATTGTGCATGGTAGAGAGCTCGGCATGTTTATATATATATATATATAACATGTACACTTTGTATATACAGTGCCTAACATTGGTTGACAAATTCTGACCTTTCAATGCACATACATAGATGTATACACATATGTGTGTGCGGAGCATGCTTGTAGATGTAGTACAGACTTCTCGATCTGTAAACACTAACTTGTTTGCTCATCTTCGTGTTATTAATACTAACCATGCCCTTTGCATTGCTCTTGTCGGCACGTGTTTAAGATGGTAGCCGAACATTCAACCCAAATACAAACAGTAATAGCACTAGATACACGATACTTTTCAATCCACACCAAGCCGATGTTCTATAGGTTACCAGCAACAAGTCTATTGTAACGTGGCACATACATGTACTTGCCATACTTTAGCTATGGTCATGTTCAGAAGACTAATCGCAACATAGAAGCCATGTTACATGAGGACAGGCTGAACATGTAAATCAATGTACAAATCCTATAGCAGAAAATGTAAATGTGAATGACCCTACAAACATAATGCGCTTTTTTAAGCTTAGGTTTGTTGGCCAGTGTGTTGTATAGATGTGCACCGGTGTTCCAAGTGATCGACTTCATGTAGACACTTATACGCAACAAGATAAGACATGTTCAAGACTCTTAAGATCGACAATACCAAACCAGTGTTGTAACAACGAGTATGAAGTTAAAGATGAAACTTCTAGTGGTATCCAATTGCAGTACTTGAAACTGGTAAATAGGTTGCCTGTACAGTAACGTGGTGATAAGCAAATCAGTAACTGTGCAAACAAATGAAGTAAGCCTGATTAGCTGATTATGCCTTCAACTTTACTTCGAAGTAAAAGAACGTTTAGCATACGATAGTACTTGTATTTTATGTATACATCCGCACAGTTTACACATACATCTCAAAAACAGGTACTCATACACATTCACGTATGTGTACCTATATACATATACATGTATATATATATATATATATATGCATACATACATATTTCACACGCACATGTATCTATGCACATCCAAGTTTTCTAGCATGCTGTGAAGAGCCTATGTGAGATTGGAAGAAGATTAAGTAACTGTAGTAATTTACGACAATATGATCACCAGTACTATACACTTCATCTGGTGTTTTTCCTGCAAAAAACACAAAAATATCGGCGAATCAATATCGACCTGCATATTTCACGGACATTTAATAGTCACCGTGTTAACAATAAAAATGGTAGTTACTGTAAAACAAATGGAGCTCAACAAATAATTGGTCGCTGTATCCCGCAGACGCCGACAAGCCTAATTACAAGAGTGACAATGTAACAGCTTTAAACTAGACCAACTGCAGTACTCACACGTATACACGTGCATTGTCTACGAGCCTTGCCGTGAGAGTGCATTGCCCCCCAATGTGTGCCACTGACCCTGGGCGCGCGCGTATTTTTTTTTGGGTTGGCAGCCACTTCCAACAAAAGAACCCAAAAAACCCAAAGAACCAAAAAAGACAAAAAAAAACAAAAGAACCAAAAAAAAAACAAAAGAACCAACAAAAACAAAAATCCGACACTCTCCGGCCATGGAAATTTCAGTCCAGGAGTCTCTGGCAATTGGTTGTTTTGGTTCTGTTGGTTTTTTTGGTTCTTTTTTTTTTTGTTTTTAGGTCTTTTTGGGTTCTTTTGAGGTGTCATCTGCAGCAAAACTCCGTTATTGCAGGGAACGTACCTCTCTCATTAAGTATTGCGTAAATGATGGTGAAGCTAGCGCCAAAACTCCTGGAAAAGTGCACGCTCAGGGTCCCCCGTTTTGTATATATATATATATATGTATATATATAGATATAGATATATGTATATGTATGTATATATGTATATACGCATGTAAGCATGTAGACATATCTACATATGCCCATGCATATTTACATATACAACGACCAGAGCTGAAGAAACTTGACACCGGCACGGTGCCCACAAGTCGAACCTGGCCCCTGAACCGAAATCCTGAAAGCTTCAGCTTCAAACAATCGAGGCGGTAGCTTGTTCAGACGTTCGCTTGGCTCTCTAGGTTCTTTTCTCCGAAGCCCAAGGAAGGTCGCGCTGGGGCTCTCCTGCCCGGTGAAATGATAGCGAGGCCGCGAGATCCCGGTAAAGCTGCTATCGAGGCCTTCATGATTAGAGCAAGGTTCCCTCAAAGAAGCACTTTTATAAGGCTATAGTATAGGGGCCTCAATAGCTAGAATAGGGTTCCTTTGAAACTGTTCCACCAGGAGTGCCATAATAAGGCTTTAGTATATAGGCCTTGGCTCTCTTAAATAAACCGTCAAGCCTAGAGTAGGGCGTTTGGGGTTTTAGGGTGGTTTAAGTCCTAGGATTTGAGCTTGGGCTTTTGGGTTCAGGCTTTGAGGGTTTCGCGCTTAAGACCCCAAGCCCCAGCCCTAAAGCTCAAAGCGTGTATCAACCCTTCACGGGGATCCGTGTGGGGAAACAACTCTGTGCTGCGCATGACGAAGCCTCTTTATCGACGCTCAAAGTAGATATGACTCGAGTTACCTTACAAAAGAAGCTTACCAAGTTCCATCCGTGGCCGAACTGTTGACCGCATTGCCACGCTGCACTCTGGCCACTGGGATCTTTGGCATGCCACACATTCAAAATGAGCTGCAGTGCTGCAAGCTACAATCCACCCATTTAACTTCAACAACTACACGTCATGACTTCATATCGATCCATAGGACTGACTTGTAAGTTGGCTCTGTATAAACCTACTCAACTCCTACGCCCTCTCAGAATCGATACTTCGGGTCCAGGGTCTGGAACGGCATGCGGGTAGCAACCGGGTCGTACCTGCCATGCAAGCCCAGTCAGTAAGCGCTCATAGAGGTGGATATGAACCAGAGTACACATGTAAGTGTATCCAAGCATGTCTGTTAGATGTACATATACATGTGCGGATAGGTATACATGTGCATATACACATACACATGCACCTACATTTTCATATTTTCATTTTCATTTACAGACGCATATCGCTTACATATACACACATATACACATACATATGTATATGCATAGATACACATATACATATACGTAAAAACACGCATATACTTGTACAAATGCAAATGCGTATGCAAAAGCATGCAGGAACCTCTGCAACAAATACAAATACATATACATATGCATATACTATATACATACGCATAAACATATGCATACACATATACCTCTGCATGTACATGCACATGAACATATACGTGCATGCATGCATCAATGCATACACACATACATGCATACTTGCGTACATGCACAAAGGCATACATGAGACTTACGTAAATCTAATTGTGTGTGTGTGTGTGTCTGCGTGCATACCTCCTTATTACTATTATTCTTCTTCTTATTATTATTATTAGTAGTAGGAATAGTAGTAGTAGTAGTAGTAGTAGTAGTTGTTGTTGTAGAGTAGTAGCGGTGGCAGTAGTAGTAATTAGTAGTAATGGTTGTTGCATGATTTGTTCTTGCACTAAAGCATGACAGCAAACAGTGCCAATGTACCAAGACAACACACAGACAAACATGCACACACACATATATATATATACACACACACACCCTCGCGCACACATACACACACACACACACGATTTAATTGGAGGCACGCAGGACCTGGCAAGTAGGTTCTCAGCGATTCTACTTAGTCCCCTGGTCATTGTAGCATTTCCTCCATTTACCGGCAACTCATGTCCATAACGCAAAAGCGCGAACCCTGATTCAGATGCGCAAGTGATGCAAGTGTAAGTGGGATCAAACTCCTGTTGTACGGACCCCCGAAGATCATGACCAAACAAGGCAGGATTGCTCTGCGGACAGGGAGGCCACATAGTGAGCCTGATTTGTCTCCTCCTGCTCCTTGAAGAAGAGCATCTGCTTCTCCTCGTAGTTTCGTGGCAGCTAGGTTTAGGGGTGCAACTGCTTTACATGCAAAACCTAGGTGGCACCCCGAGTCGATAATAGCGAAACATGCAAAAGGCACCAAGATCGTGACCAAGAAGCGTCATATGATGGTTTCACCATCCCGGCTTGCTCTACTTTATGCTCCACTTGAGGGAAAGTGCCCATACTCTCAAGGTACTCTCAAACAGCTTCACATGATAGTCGAACCGTTGAACTCCCCTGACCCCCAAACCCTGAAACCCTCCCACTGAGGCAGAGACATAATAGCGCTTTCGGCTTTGAATCTTGTAGTACCTCAAGCCAAGTCGGAAGAGCTTAGGGTTTAGGGGGGCGATTGCTTGTTCGGCTTTGGGAGCCATGTGGTTTTGTGAAATGGGGGCGGGGTTACTTCGTTGACGGGTTCCCAACAACGCACGCAAGGATACTGCTCTTCAGGAGTCTTTGTTCTGAGGGTCCCCTCTTCTCTGAAACTCCCCAGAGAGTTCCGGAAGTGACAGTATGTGTCAATAATATGCGGCCGTGGATACGTAGCCGAGTTAGGGTTTAGGGTTTCGGATTTAGGGTGTTGGGCTTCGAATTTCGGGCTTGGGCCTTTGGGGTTTCAGGTTTAGGCTTGAGGTTTAGGGTGTCGGGTTTAGGGGCGAAGCCCATGTATTTCGGTGACCTACCTCTCTGTAGCTGCAACACCAAGTAACCCCAGAAGTTGTCGACCCCAAACTCGCAAGCCTTAAGCAGCTCATACAAGGGCCGTGATGATTAGAAGACGGTTTTGGGGTGTAAGGTAGTATACCAACAAGGCACCTCAACGAGTAGTCTCAGAAAACTTCCGGCTTCTGTAGTGATCTCGTTGCATCGATACCCCAATCCCGAGGCATGGGCTCATGGTCGAAGCACATGATGTTGAAGGTCCGGCCAACCTCAAAGGGCTTCGTGAAGAGAGGCTTTAGGCAAGACTTTGAGACTCTGGGGTTTGGGCTTACTTGGAGGTTCATGGGACTTAGTAAGTACGGATATAAGCACCTTGGCTGGGGCTAGAACTTGTTAAACATGTGGTTACCTTTTTATAATCGTAGTTACCAGGTACCATGAACCTTCAAGCAGGCGTTTATGGCGCTGGGACGCTGGCAGTCGATGCGTGCTTGGGGGTGGTGGGCTTCGGGAAAGGAAAGTCTAGGGTTTGCGGGAATGAAAGGCTCGAGGTTCTGGTGAAGGCTGGGTATGGAGTTCAACAACTCCAACATGAGTAGTTAGCTCCGGCTCTCTCTCTCTATATATATATATATATATATGGACCCAGAAGGGCAACTTTAGCATATCCCAGATCGGTACCGTACCAAGCCAAGATTCGTATGTAAGGAGACGCGCAGTCCGGGAGCTTCTGAGGAACTCGGGACGCGATGTCCATACTATATAGGGGGGGCCTACATGGAAGAGTCCGAAAATTAGGGGTACGTTATTTTGGGGTTCATATAATGAGGATCCTACAAGTTAGAGTACTATATTAGGGTCCCCTATTTTCGGAATATCCTACATTGGCCAGCAAGTTCATGCACGAGCCATCAACCATAGCGAACCTGAGATACAACGCACAAGAACGACGGCAACGACGACGGCAATGATGCCAATATGGACGGAGCATGTTAGCCCCTGGCATAGACGAGGCCGGAGAGGATCACACCCGCCGCTGCGCCGTAGGCCAGGGAGTAAAGCGGCGTGCCCTTGGGCGATGGAGTTGGAAATGATGCTGTTCAGGTTCGAGCTTATGACTCCGTTGCTTCGCTCATGGCATGACTCTGACAGAAAGGGAAGATTGGAAAGATCCCTGAAGGTTTGAAGTGCCAAGCATGCCAAGCATCCCAAGTCCGCTTGTTTGCGGTCATCCCTGAGCACCCCCTCGACGTCGACTCTAACACTGTTGCCAAGGATTTCTAACTTCACTGGCATGACCTGTGATCGTGATATGACGTGAAAAGGCTTCTACCAGAATATATCAACACAATTGTGGACGTGCTTCCAGAACCAAGCACCCAGAAACACCAAGACAAAGATATAAAGGTGCAGGCTCGGGCGCTAAGTCCCCTTCTGCTCGGACCTCATGGAACCTCCCGGAGCCCAAATCCAAACCCCAGTTTCGTCCGAGCCGCAACCTTGACCTTGCTGAGGGCGAAGGTGCTGGCCCGAGTGAGGAAGGACCTGGGTCCATGTTGGGTTCGTGTCTGTGAGGGTCTTGGGTCTTAAGGGGGTTCTGAGACTTGGAGGCATAGGCTTTGGACGGGTTACTTGGAGGATCATGCGACTTAGTAAGTAAGGTTATAAGTACCCTAGTTGGAGTTATAAGAAACCTAATTGGAGCTATAAGTATAGTTACCTTATTGAAAACCCCAGTTACTACGTCCCATGATCCTCCAAGTAGAGGTTTAGGATTTGAAGACTTGGAGTCAGGAGCCCGCGCCGAGAATCTGTCAGAAGTTTTCCCGGCACACCCTAAATTCCCTAGATCGGAAGCCCCAACCCTACTGGGTCCGAAAGTGAACCCAAACTCCACACCGCCGAACACTGAACCTCATCCCCAGAACCCCGCCCTAAGCCCTCCACCCAAAACCATAAACATAAACCCCCAACTAAACCTTATAATGAAGCCCAATAAGGTAGGAGCATTCCCATGACATGTTTATGATTATGTCCTTTTTGGGTCTCCAACCCAGCCCGGCCACTACGCCCAAGGCCCGGGCGGCTTGGCGGAAGCTTCGATCTGCTCTGCCATGGCTCCTGATAGTTGGTCGAAGGTCTAGTGTAGGCGCCTCCTTTAAAGGGTTCCTTACAGGAACCTAGAGCAAGGTTCCTTTACAGGGGGTCCGTAAGGGCTGCTGTAAGGGATCTATAAGGGCACATAGTATAGGGGTGAGGGCTTGTCAAGGGGCTTTGGGCTTGTGTTCTAGCGGCTTCGTAAATTTACAAACTACCTACCGAAATCTCCGAGTAGGGCGTGGGATTGGGACCTTGGGGTCTGGAGTCCAGGATTCGGGGCCGGGGTCTGGAAGCTTCTATTAACAGTCCCTAAACCCTAAACCCTAAACCGGGGTAGCTTAGCACAGCCCGAAACTCTCAACCTTACATCCGGAACTTCAATGAAGTCCTCGTCCCAGCAACCCCGAACCTCATTGCAGCTTGCATCCTGAACTCTAGGCCTTACACCCTGCCGCCGAAAGCATGAACCTCACCCGCTCAAACCCCCATAAAAAGCCCAATACTCCTTAATGCTTAAATCATAACAATGAGGCCACTGATCTTTCAAGGCAAGTTCCCCAAGTAAGGGGTATTGGGCACTCTGGGCCCTGAATCCTGTCGAAGAAACTCCAACCTTCCCCCACCTGCAGCGTCATTGCATTGGCATACTATAGGAGGAGGGAACCCCAAAAATAGTATTTGTAAATTATCAAGGGCACTACAGTAATTGGCTTTACTCATTTCTCTGTCTAATGTAAGAACCTGATTAAGAAACCTTGGGCCTTCATTCGGGTCCTTATATGAATCCTACTATTCTGGTGTTATATGCCCAGGGTTTCTTAATCAGGCTCCCACATTATGTCTTCGCCTCCAGTTGCAGCAGCTGCCCAGGAAAGATGTCGGGAGGTTGGCGACTGGTCGCTGCTCTGAGCCCAGAACGACGAATCGGAAAGCTGGGAACCGAAAATCGAATAGGGGTTTAGGAGTTTAGGGTTTAGGGGGTCAGGGTTTAGGGTTTTCGCGTAATTATGGTGATAAACCAATATTGCGGCTAAGAAGTCGCTGTTCACGTGAAATCGGGATTCTGCCCCGGGCAAAGGCTAACAACAACCCTGCAGTACGAGCAACCACTTTTGTCGCAGGTCGGCTCTCGCACAAACTCAGGAGGCAGGTGCTGAAGCGAGGTGGCTCTGTGGTACGTAGTACTGCTTGGGGGCAAACGATTTCAGCAAAGTAGCTCAGGGTCTGCAGAGCTACCAAGCTTCAAGCATGCGACAACCTCCCCTGTGCGCTATACCTAGTATCAGTACGTCTCGCGACGCGAAACTCTGTGAGCAGTAAGATCTTTGGCACTGCGTGCATCTCCACCGTTCGCCCGGCTGACTTGAGCGGGGAGCCTCAAAGACCGTTCGGAAGAACGTCATGAGGAGCAGGCTCCAAGATGAAAGCCAAAGCTTCAACGGGGGTCCTCCGCAGCACAAACTGCCCCCAAGACTTGCGCGAATTCTTCGTGCACTTAAAACTAGCCGGGATCTTCCACAGGTCTCCCAAAGTCACGGTCTTTCGGAACCACTTCCAAACCAAGGGCCGCGAGAAGGTGCTGTAAAGGCAGCAAAGGAGTCGTAGATGTTCTGGGAGGCATTCCAGGACTTGAACCTGCAGGAGCGACTGAACTTCGAGGGTGGGGGCGTGCACTTCTGCACTTCAGATGTTTTTGTGGGCCTGCCCGATGCATCGTGTACCACCAGGCCGATTTGAGCAGCGCCTGTGATGAAAACGCCACCACCTCAAGCATCAAGATGTAGGACATAAAGTGAAGGAGAAGCTGCTGTCGGGGGTGCATGTGTAGCAACTACTTGCACTGCGGTGCTTTCATGCTGTCGTTGTTGATTCTGACTATCTAGTTTACGGGTGCTTTTTTTTCTGTAATTCCTCTTTTCGGCGATCCCCAGCAGTATTTGCTAAACCTGCCAAGCGTTCCAACTTGGGTTTGATGAGGGTTGTACCTGTTGTTGAAGGATTGGGGATGCGCGTATGTAAAAAATGTATGTGTGTGTTTGTGTGGACATATACAATATATTATATATATATATATATATGTATATATATATATATACATACATACACATACATACATACACAGACATACATACATACATACATACATAAAAGCCGCTTAAGAGCTTGATGAAACACGCATGAGACAATTCCAACCTTGCAAAACACTGAATAGCCCGATACGATTACCCTGTTCACCTCTACAGCCCTAGATGCACATCCCTAAACCCCAAACCCGATTCGCAAAAACCCTAAAACCTAAAGCCCAAACCCAAACCCCGAAATGCTGAAGCCTCTCCAAGCCATAGTGGTAATTATAAGAACCAGAACAAGAACGTGCAATCTCCGAGGGACGGCCCAGAGGCCGCGAACCGCCCTCAACGAGGCTAAAATTCTTCTCGTTGTTCGGCCCACGTTCCAGTGCCAGCCTAGCAGTTTAGGATTCAGGACGTCAGGGATTGAGGGCTTAGCGTTTAGGGTTTGGCATTTGCAAGGGTTAAGGATTATGGCTTTGTCGATCTGGGTTTGGGATGTCAGGGTTTAGAGTTACGGTTGAGGGCTACGGGAGGTCTAGGATTCAGAGCTCAGGGGTCCAACACAGGGGCCTGAATAATTCGGCTACGGCTCCCTAAATTCTAGACCCTGAAACCTATGGCCCTCGGGTTTGAAGCACAAACCGAAGTTACAGGAACAGGCAAACGAATTTTACTACAAATGAAGAAGCAAGAGCAGCTAACCGTGAACCCTAAACCCCTAAGCCCTAAGCTTTCATCTCTGAGAGTACTTAATTGAGGTTGTAACCATTTACAAGTAGAGTTACTCTGACAATAACCGTAGTGACTAAGTCCCATTAGCCTTTAAGTAAGTCGGTGGGTACGTCAGTCGGGCTTTCCAAGCCGGATGGAGCCCGAACACCCGAAAAACCAAAGAGCTTCACTGCGGGTCATGGTTCCGGATATTGTAAGGTTTGGGGTTTTGGGTTTAGGGTACCCTTGTAGGATATGATGTTGCATGGCAGGGCCTTAATGGCAGGGTTTTAGGCATATGTGAAGTTGAGGATCTGCAGACTTCCTGAGAGCAACCTCAGACGGCCTGGTATAGTCCGTTGCAAAGACATCATCTGTCAATGCGGCATCGCTTTTCCTTGGCTCCAACTTTAACTTTGCTCTTCTTTCGGCGTCAGCATGAATCCAAATCCTTCGACGCGTGACACCCCCGGCCTGCCCCAGCCGCAGCCAGTCCAAGTAACGGTGTGGCAAAACACGGCTTACAGACCTCTGTAATTCTAAAATTCAATAGAGCAGCAGGTTACTCTACTGAGATTATGTGCGTGTGTCTACACCTTCCAGAACTCCACTTCCTGACTGTCTGCGCCAATGCCTGCAACCTGCATTTCCGATTGCCTGCCACGCTGGAAATCCCATACAGCAACCCGAGCATCGGCACCAGACGGACGCGGAAGTCCCAGGCGATGCTTAGGCCGTTGGCGGAAGAAGCCTGTTTCCGCAACAACCAATTGAAATGCTCGTTTTACCGTCGCACCTACAGCACGACACCACGTCAACGCGAGTAGTAGAACATGCGAAGGCCAATACCGATGCAACGGCGTCCACATGAATGATCATGACGATCGGTGTTGCTGTGCAACGTCGTTATTGTCAGCATCACCACAACCACCACTACCGCCACCATTGTCATCGTAATCCTCGTCCTCGTCCGCATCCTCATCCTCCTCATCACCATCTTCTTCTACATCAGCATAATCAAAACAGCACCGTCACCATCATCGTCGCAGTCTTCAAATTAATCCTCACCGTCATCTTCTTTCCACACCGGATGATGACGACCGGCAAGCAACATCACCAGGGCATGAACGTCTTCAGCAGTAGCAGGGAAGCTGCATGACCGCCATCGCGCAGCAGCAGCAGCAGCAGCAGCAGCAGCAGCAGCAGCAGCAGCAGCAGCAGCTGCAGTCGCACCGGCACCAGCATCCGCAGAACAAAAAGTGCAACCCGACCACGTCCGCAACTTCTTCAACATTCTTGTTGATGTTGGTGTTTGGCGCGGGCTAATGCAATTTACTGTTCGTATTGCCATCCTCTCCATTGGCTGCTAGATGTACCAATATGATCACGGTTCGTCGTAGAGCAGCAGGCATTGTGATAGTGCTGTGGATGTCGGAAGGCCTCCTGGGACGCTCCCTTCGTCCAGTTCCCGTTGTTGTTGAAGAGCGTAATCCACCAATTGCCGTCTTCCTGCGGGTCGTATTCACAGACACTCCGCAGCCCCTAAATTAAGGCGTATACTTCAAACCATTTTAAGGATCCCTAACCCCTAAACCCTAAACCCTAAAGTACTGCTTGCTTGAACGGTTTTGGAGCGAGCGCCAGGATTCGGGGATTTGGGGGTTTTGGTGTCTTCGGCTTCGCAGTGACCAACGAAGAAGCGGATGGCCTAGTCGTCTTCGAGCCGTTTAGGGTTTAGGGCTGACGAGTTGCTCTTTCAGGGTCTCTTCATCCTTCGGCAGTATGTAATACAGGGGCCTTACCAAATAGAATACGGGTTTTGGGGCGCACTATACCATAACTATAGTAAGGAAGCCCCAAAATAGTAGAGGTAATGATTTGGCCCCTAAATTAGTTGGGTGTAGGGTTCCACGGGTCTTTGAATTGGGCCTGCGGCCTGATCTGACAACTTGGGCCTTCATTCGTTGTGGCTTACTATAGAGGCCTAAACCGATACTATCATGGTTTAGTGTTTAGGGTTTATGGGGGTTCCATATTCTAGTTAAAGCCATAGCATAATGGGCCCCAAAACCCTATTCTCATCATTAAGGCCCCTACATTAGACCCCAAACTCAGACACACCCTTAAAGCCCAAAATTCCTGATGCTCTCATCACTGAATCCTCTAAACCACTCATGCAGTTGAAATCCTAAACCCTTTGGCACGAGCTGCGGAACTGAAAATCCAACACCAGTTTGGTGATATTGAAGGCTTTAGAGGAATCAAGGAGTCAGGGCGGCTTCGCCCCCTGCTTCAAAACTATAGCTCCTGTGTAGATCAAAAAACAACCTCGACGTAGCCGTCGATACATGCGAGGGATGACACCCTTAGGCACTCGCATGGATCTCCCTCCAGGCCCAGCTGCAAAAAGCGTGGAACCGACTGGCCACGGGCAAAGTCCGCTGCTGTCCAGCGTCGACAATTGCAGAGATCCAGTCTGGCGCCGGCGGCGATCAGAGCCGCGGCAGCCTCGAATTGAGCCGACCTGATAGCCTGTATCAGCGGCGTGCTGCCATGCAAGTGATAGGCCAACGTCGTCAAAACTGTTGCGCGGCCGAGCTGGTACTGCAAGGACTTCCCTGCCAAGAACAGCCTTCCCAGAGCCTTGCAGTCTCGAGGCAGGTTCATCTGAAAGTCAACGTCAGCACGGAGGCCAATCAACCGCTGCACCAGTTCTGCCGAGCCACCTCGAAATAATGTTGTCTTCCAGAGAGCTCGTGAAAGGTCCAGCTTGTCTGGGGGACCCTGCACCAGTAGCTCCTCCAAAGCTGCTGCAGATCCATGACTCGCTGCCATCTGCAAGATACTGAAGCCAAAGCTGTTCTTGGCCAGAGGCCTAGCACCCGCTGCACACAGGAGGCGGACACCTTCCGAACTGTCTGACATGGCCGCCATTTAGATTGCCGGGAAAAGGACACCTTCAAGGTGTGCGCTCGCCGCGAGCAACAGCCGTGTGGCGTCGTGGTGCTTGAAGAACACCGCGAGATCCAAAGCCGACATCCAGGGCGGGAAGCCCAGCGTCGGCTCATCCTTCGACGTGCGCCGGTTCACGTTGGCGCGTTTCTCCAGCAGCCCTGTCAGTACCGCCACACTCCCGGCCAATGCTGCGTAGTGCAGAGGCCACCACCCTGCGCTGTCGGCCTCACCGACACTTCTCAAGCCGTTTTGGTGTAGGAACTCCAGCACCACATCATCACCACCCTCACGGCTGGGAAGCAGACCGGTCACTGGCTCGATCTCCAGCCCTCGCAAGTGAACCGTCTGCAGGTTGAGGTGGCGCCGGAATCCGGGCACGTCGCCCACCCGCAAGCAATGAAGCAGCTTTTGGATTCAGATCTGCCGCATCACGGGAGCCAGCTTCTGTCGATCCTCCTCGATCTCGAAGTCGCCTTCCCCAACCGGGCCGGTCGGAAAGGACCACACTGTCCCAACAACTTCAATGGAGGCTTCGCTCTGGATGAGAATCCAAGTGCTGTTTGGGGAAAGCTCGCGTGCGGCTCGTTCTAGGCAGCACCAACCCCTACTGCTCCAGGTCCTTGCTGTGAGCACCTTGCCCTGCAAGGGGCAGTCGACCACCGGACAAAGGGCAAAAAAGAAGTGGCAGTTACTGATGTAGCCGGGTATGCTGCTGATGGCTCTAGCTAAGTGAAGGTGCTCCGTCTCGTCGCATGCTTTGCCTTGACAATGCATCTGCGGGCATGAGAAATAGTCGTACCAGAAATACAACGACTGCACCTGGAAATCCAGCAAAGGAAGAGGCTTGGCCGTTTGGACAACGCCTTCTGTAACGAAATCGAGCGAAAGAGATCCAGAGCTGCTGCGGATGCGGTTCAAGGCATTCTGCAAGGTACGCATCTGCTTGAAATCCGGATCTGGGTGGTCTTTGGCAAGCCACTGATGTGAAACGAACGCCGCCTTGCCCAAGTCGTCACTGAAGACGACGAGCTCCCCCCTGACCTGCAAACTTTAAAGCGCTACAATTCCAGCAGCTGTCACCAGACAGCAAAAATCACAGTTAAAAATTATGCTGACTGGCCTTTATTGATTGCACACCCCCGCCATTCTTTTGCTTGTTGAAGGGTTGAAGGAGCCCTTGAGGGAGAGACACGGGGGTTTTCATGCGAGGACTGCGTAGTCCGGGTCTCATGGAGGTTGTAAGCACATGCTTCTCAGCCTGCGAACGCATGAAGCCCTTCAATGGAACAGCTTGACTCCACAGTGCTGTCGCCTTCAACATCTGGTGGGGCTCGACCCTCGTCATCTTCAGCAGCACATCCGCAGCTACAGTGTACATGGGGAAGTGCATCGGAGCAGCCTCAGTAACGGACATTGTAACTCCCACCAAGCATGGGCCTTCTGCTTATTCCCCTAAGTCGCCGAGGCGAGATTTAAAGGCCTTTAAACTAGTATCGGGTTGCTGGGTTCAGGGTTTCGTGTTGCTACAACCAATTGTTACCAATTGTTAAGGCTTGTCTTACGCGAGGTGTGGTGCCCGGCGGCGTCTGCATCATTGGGCAACGATTGGCCGTAGATCTCGAGCGGCGTCCGGTGCTTTCCGAAGATGCAGGAAGACATGAGCTCAAGTTTCGACGGACGAAGCGCTGAAACTGAGAAAAGAGGGAGCCCAATCCCCGCCTGTCAAAACAAGCAAGGCTTGGGGTTTAGGCCCAGATGCCTTACTATATGGGGCCTAAATATCTACCAATACTGCTTTGTTTGGGAGTTTCTCACTGATTATCAAGGCCCCTATACTACAGTACCCTTAAAAATCTCGTACTATAGTAGCCCTTACAGACCTCTTTAAAGGGAGCCGTAGTCTAGGCAATAGGGCCCCTGCAGTTTAAGAGGTCTCACAGGAGGCCAAACCCAGCGCTCCGAATCCAGAGCTGTCCGAGCCTGGCCTTGGGCCGAAACACCAGGAGAAACAAGGATTGTATCTATCATTTGACCTTCATATTATGATCAATAACCACAGAATGGAAGTATATTAATAATCATAGAATGTTAGTATTAGTAAATTATTAATACTAACATTCTGTGATTATTGATAATAATCATAGACTGTTAATATAAATAATCACAGGGATGCACAAGATTGCCAATAACAGTAAGAACAGAAATGGTGGTAGCACTAAGAATACCATACTGATATGAGACTTGTGCCACTGTGCACGAGCACTGTGGTTCGACAGTTACATTGTACTGCGTCAAGTTCGCACCTTTCTGTCGGTATCGATGCCTCTGTCCGCTGTACAAAGCGACTTATGGCCTATGCGATACGACACTGAATTGCACGCTGCTTTGTCGGTGAAGGTCTTCTTTGGTTTTCATTATTCATGTACACAGCATCTGCAAACTGGTACCTGGTCAACAAAGGCTGCACTTTGGGGACTCTGCTTTTAGTTGCCGTGATATTATGCAACTTCCGGGTGGCAAGCGATACAGGAACTACGCTACAACGTTCCACGTATTTAGAATACTCTCGTCCGAGCCATTCGGGTATCATGCGGCAATTCCAGATCGATGATTGTATCGGCTTATTATAGGAATCTGATCAAGAAACCTTGGGCCTTTATTAGGGTTCCTTGTATGAATCCTAGAATCTTGGGGTTTTAGGCCCAGGGTTTCTGATTCAGGTTCCTACATTATGCCAGATAGACGCAGGGCTAAAGTAAGCAGCTCTGTAGTCTCTGCGAGACATACCATACACACCTTGCTTGCTGCACACACTCAACGACACCCTATTCCCCACTCTATGGGACTACGGTCGAGGAGTCCAGCGCACCGGAAACCAACTCCAAAGCCCGCTTTGGAATTACGACCATGTCCAGTTCTGCAGCTGCCCAGCAAAGGGGGGGTGGTGTTCAGAGATTGACGAAGATTAAGAGTCTAGGCTCCGATCAGGCAGGCGTTGGGATGGCGTATTCAGGGCCTTGATGAGCAATATTTCAAGTAGTGTGATTCTGCTAGGGCGCCTTAAGGGATAGTACTACCAACGATTTGGGCTGCTCTATTTCTGCCTTAGGCAAAGACTTGGCAAGCACTTCCAGGAGTTTAAAGCCCTAAGCCCTAGAGCCCGCCCTAAACCCTAAACTGAAGCCTATCCTTCCAACACTACCCCACATTCCAAAGCCCAGAAACTCTCGACCCTGCAGCTCTGAATTCCTTAACGAGGAGCTTGTAAAGCCCTTGAAAATATGAGTAAATAAGATCCTCTTAAGCCCAATAAGGGAAAACATAAAATGTCCCAAAGCCCTACCTAGTTAAAGTCTCCAACCTACGGCCCTCAATCCTCAAAGCCGGAACATAAGAAAACCCCAAATCCTTTTGCAGAAGCTCGCTCGCTGAAAAAACACCACTTTTAGAGGTGATACTGCAGCGATGTATTCAAAACACCAAACAAAGCTCAGAGAGTCAGGGAGTGCGCTTTCGCCGCACTGCTTCTAAACTCGACTGAACGTAGATCAAAGAACAACCTCGACGTAGCCGTCGCTAAGTGCGAGGGATGACACCCTGCGGCACTCGCCTGGATCTCCCTCCAGGCCCAGCTGCAAGAAGCGTGGAACCGACTGGCCACGGGCAAAGTCTGCCGCTGTCCAGCGTCGACAATTGCAGAGATCCAGTCTGGCGCCGGCGGCGATCAGAGCCGCGGCAGCCTCGAATTGAGCCGACCTGATAGCCTGCATCAGCGGCGTGCTGCCATGCAAGTGATAGGCCAACGTCGTCAAAACTGTTGCGCGGCCGAGCTGGTACTGCAAGGACTTCCCGGCAAAAAGCAGCCTTCCCAGTGCCCTGCAGTCTCGCGGCACGTTCATCTGAAAGTCAATATCGGCACGGAGGCCAATCAACCGCCGTACCAGCTCTGCCGAGCCACCTCGAAATAATGTGGCATCGAAGAGTGCCCGCGAAAGTTCCAGCGGGCCTGGGCGACCCTGCACCAGCAGCTCCTCCAAAGCTGCCGCGGCTCCATTACCTGCTGCACACCTCAAGCTGGTGGGTCCCAGGATGTTTCGGGCCAGTGGCCTGGCACCTGCTGAACACAGCAGGCGGACACCTTCCGCATTGTCAGAATTGGCCGCCATTATGGCTGATGGCCAAAGGACACCTTCAACGCGTGCTCTCTGTGCGAGAAGCAGCCGTGTGGCCTCGTGGTGCTTGAAGAACCTTACTACCCCAATAAGCCACAGAAAGGTTAAACTTTCCGATTCCCACTACTGCAAACTACAAGAACCCAAAAAGTCTACAGGCTGGATATTGGGGATCTAAGGAACACCGCCAGATCCAGAGCCGACATCCCGAACGGAAAGCCCAGCATCGGCTCATCCTTCGACGTGCGCCGGTTCACGTTGGCACGTTTCTCCAGCAGCCCTCTCAGTACCGCTGCACTCCCGGCCAGTGCTGCGTAGTGCAGAGGCCACCACCCTGCTCTGTCGGCCTCACCTACGCTTCTCAAGCCGTTTTGGTGAAGGAACTCCAGCACCACATCACCACCCTCACGGCTGGGAAGCAGACCGGTCACTGGCTCGATCTCCAGCCGCCGCAGGTGAACCGTCTGCAGGTTGAAGTGGCGCCGAAATCCAGGCAAGTCGCCCACTCGCAGGCAATGAAGCAGTTTTTGAACCAAGATCTGCCGCATGACCGGAGCGAGTCTCTGCCGATCCTCCTCGATCTCGAAGTCGCCTTCCCCAACCGGGCCGGTCGGAAAGGACAGCACTGTCCCAACAACTTCAATTGATGTTTCGCTCTGGATCAGAATCCAAGTGCTGTTTGGGGAAAGCTCGCGTGCGGCTCGTTCTAGGCGGCACCACCCCCTACTGCTCCAGGTCCTTGCTGTGAGCACCTTGCCCTGCAAGGGGCAGTCAACCACCGGGCACAGTGCAAAAAAGAAGTGGCACGCGCTGATGTAGCCGGGTATGCTGCTGATGGCTCTAGCTTGGTGGAGGTACTCCGTCTCGTCGGATGCTTTGCCTTGACGCTGCAGCTGTGGGCATGAGAAATAGTCGTACCAGAAATACAAGGTGTGCACCTGGAAATCCTGCATAAGAAGAGGCTTAGCCGTTTGGACAACGCTTTCTGTAACGAAATCCAGCGAAAGAGATCCAGAGCTGCTCAGGATGCGTTTCAAGGCATTCTGCAAGGTACGCATCTGCTTGAAATCCGGATCCGGATGGTCCTTGGCAAGCCACTGGTGTGAAACGAATGCTGCCTTGCCCAATTCCTCGCAGAAGACAACGAGCTCGCCGTTGGCCTTCAGACGCTCAATCGCTACAAGGCCGCTGGGCCCTAGGTGGTAAGACCTAATGGTAGCCTTAATAATTAGAATAGGGTTGCGGGGCCACAACACCGTAATTATAATAAGGAACTAACCACTAGGGCCCCTATACTAAATCCTTGTACTTGCACTTATGGTAGCCCTTATAGACCCCTTTAAAGGAACCGCCAAGAATTAGTATAGGTACCCTCTGTCAGACCCTGAATGCCCCTTATTTGGGACCATATACCCGTATTTGAGGGTACAAGGAGGGTCCTGGTATATTACAACGAAGATCCCGGGCTACGGTATCTTTCACGGCAGCACGGCCCAGCTGCCCCGTAGCTGCAGCTACCCCACCAGTTACAAGGCAGTCTAGTGCTTAGTAGGGAACGGGGGAATGGGTTATTGGGGCTAATTTTGGGGATTGTATGGGCTACTATGGCTCTTCCCTACTAAGAACCAGACAGAAGGTGGTGTTTTGTAAATTAAGCAGCTGCCAAGAAGTAAAATTAGCTCAAATTTCCAAACGACGATGGGTGTAGGCCGTTTGTCAGGGTCCAAGTAGTCCTTGTTTATGGTTTTTCGTACCCAAAAAGGCCCTAAAGGCCAACAATAAGGAGTACTTGGACCCTCTGGCCGTTGCATCACTCCCCCTGAACCCTAAACCCTAGTCCTACAATAAGGAATACTTGGACCCTCTGGGCGTTGCATCACTGCCCTACTTTCCTCCTTGAAGGGGTGGAAGGACCTCAACCCCAAATAACCTCCAATTTTTTGGATTGACATAAGGACATCATGATGGGGAACCTTTAAAAGGAAGTTTTTTTATAGGGTCTAGGGAAGCCTTAAGGGAGTGAGATGGGTGGTGTCAACCCTAAACCCTAAACCCGTGGTGTTCATGCGAAGACCCTGCATTCCAGCTCTGGCAGGGAAATTGTGCACAATGTAGGGGCCTTACAGTAATTAGAATAGGGCTCCCTTAAAGGGGTTCCTTGCAAAGGGGTCTATAGGGATCTATAGTAGGCCTCTATAATAAAGGGGCTTTAATAATTAGAAGAAGGGTTTGGGGTATAATATACTATGATTTTTACAAGGAACCCCAAAGTCATACAGGTAATAAAGGCTCCTACAGTAAGGCAAGTGCATGCAGCCCTTCTATGAAATCTCCTAACATATCGTGACTCGGCAGTGCGGCTGCCTTCAACATCTCGTGGGGCTCGACCCTCGTCATCTTCAGCAGCACATCCGCAGCTACAGTGTACATGGGGAAGTGCATCGGAGCTGCCTGAGATATCGAAATCCTGACAAACTAAAAGCTGCTGACGCACCTAATCGCTGAGGCGAGACTTGCTAGAAATCTACAGGACTTGCGGCGCCCGGCGGCGTCTGCATCATTGGGCAACGATAGGCCGTAGATCGCGAGCGGCGTCCGGTGCTGTCCGAAGATGCAGGAAGACATGAGCTCAAGTCGCGACGCACGAGGAGCTGAAACTGAGAAACGGAGGGAGGGGCCCTTTGTGGGGTTAGGACGGTTAGGAGTTCCGTGAGAGCTGGTCGCCTTTCGAGGTGCGCAAGATCGCTCACAGGAGACCAAGCCTAGCTCTCTGATTCCAGAGTTGCCAGAGCCTGGCCTTGGGCCGAGACACACCTCGAAAGACAGACTTCATTCAGGCAAAGATTGGCAGCAACGGAAAAGACGCTATTTTGGTAATCGCAACAGGAGCAATAACCGTAATATTCTCGGACGTAGTAGCAGCAGCTTCAACTTTAAAAGCACGACTAACAAGGCTAATGCTGACAGGAAGACTGATACTTGTGCTACTTTAACGGTAGTCGCTACGTAGGTTCTACCAAGCGACGCTACACCTCAGTACACTGAATTACATGCTGCTTTGTGGGTCACGATCTTCTTTGTGCTTCCATATTCGTGCACAGTGCATTCGCGAACTGCCACCCGGACGCTCTAAGCCGTACTGTTTACTTCACCGGACTTGCTTTTGGTGTGCCCGTGACTGGCGGATGGCATACGATATGCGAACGACGGTACACCGCAGTACTGTACTAGACCGAATAAGTTTAAACTGCTCGAGACGATGGTCCTTCTGGTAGGGGTAGACATTGTGGACGCCGTCCCAACCCGTCACATCTTGAGCCATGCCGAACTTGTGCGGGGGCGTCATCGGAGCCGCTTCGCAAGGCACCGTGCGCGAAGACTCCCCATAGCCTGGCATGCCGAACTGCTGCAGGATCTCGCCGCCCCCATCTGCGCTCTTGTGGGTGAACGGGTCCTGAAGCATCCCTCCTTTCGCACTCTTACTATTACTCCAGCTCTGACACACAAAACTTCACTGCATTGCACGGTCCTTCAGCAGGACAGCGGCATTCAGGAAGTAGGTGGTGAAGGCGAGGACCGCGGTGTCTCCGGCGATGAACCGGGTGACACCGTTGAGGTGCCACTGTTGGGTGAAGGCCGGACATTCTGGGTTACGTGTTTTGTTGCTCACGTTCTTGAAGGGGATTTTGTAGATCGTCTCGCTGCTCTCCGTTGAAAAAGTCCCCAGGCTATCGTAGATGGAAAAGTAATCTTCTCCGTCGGCCGTCTTCCTTAAAGTCCTACCATCCTCCAGATTAAGCACAATGAATGCATCCAGAAACACGCCTCCGAAGTTGTTGTCAGTCTGCTTCTCCTTGTATTGAACACAGATGATTGCATGTAGAACTCCGTCAAACTCTTCTAGGAAGAAGGTGTGCGTGGGCGCCACAAAGACCAGTGGCTTCTTGCTGAGGGCTCTCTCTGCGGCAGCCAGGATATTGATGTCCTCGTACTTGGCATCGCCAAAGCTCGAATCCCATACCTGAGCTCTGCCACAGTTATGATGGTGCGGCAGCTACGTGGTCCGCATGAACCAGTTGACTCCGCACTCTGCCTAGCCTTAAGCCTTGACCTCTGAAAGCCCCAACCCGAACCGCGATACCACCAAAGACTGAACTCCCAACCCCCGAAGAGAAACGCATCCTTTACAAGGTGCTCGCAGGTAGTCAGCACAGCAACCTCCAGTCATATGCTTCGGGTGGCCAGCCTCACAGGCATCGATGCAGGGCCAGCAAATGGCATCACACAAGCTGGAAGGAACACATGATTGCCCAACAGTGGCGCTTTAGTGCGGTAATCGTCTAATCACGCTGGAAAGCACATTCACGAGCATTGTGTGCACATAGCAAAACGAGAGAACGAGAGTAAGTAACCAGAGTTGTAACTCAACCAGTCGTACTTATGAGAATTGCGCTGCCAACGGCTGCCATGCGCGGGACTTTTAGTTCTCTTGAACAACCGACGTGCGGGATATTCTCATATGTACTGACTACTTTCTGTTATTCAGGGAGCACCGCGAAAAATGCATGCAGGCTTCCAATACAGGAGCCTGAACAGCTGGAACGATAGGGTCACGGGGTAGAGCATAGCTTGCACGTAGAGCAAGACCCCAGAAGACTAATCTCCGCCACCGCACCGGGTTAACATAGGGGTCTGAAGAATCGGAAAATGCACAGTATACTTTGTAGGACCCCAAAGATACCATTATAACACCGCTATTAGCAGACTAGTGCTTGAATAGTACGATTAGCAGTATTTCAGTCGCATTCTTGCCACCCCCGCCAGCGCACCTTGTACGTGGTGACCAAGCCGTAGAGTTTCCTCTCCTGGGCTCCCAGAGACTCCAAAGCCCCTTGATTAAGGAATTTACCTTAAACCAGGATAGGATCCCTAATTGGATTTAAAGGGTATATTCTTTAATCTCCTTATACAGCCCTGACAGATCCCTTTAAGGAGCCCTTTAAGGAACCCTAGGTCCAAGGTCTATTCCTCAATTTTAAGGGTTTTGGAGGCTCTGGGCTCGTCTTTGCACAAAGCACGTCAGCCATGGCAGCTGAAAACCGAATTCCCCTAAATCCTAAACCCTGAACTTCCTGAAGACCCTCAACAAATCCTGTAAAAAAGAGCCTTGTCGAAGCCTGAATATAGAATCAGAGTTTGAGGGTGGTACCTTAGGGGCCTTACTTATTAATAATTCGAACAGGGTGTTGGGGCCCGCTATACTATATTCATGATAAGGAACCCCACAATAGTATTGGTGGTTATTTAGGCCCCTATCTTAGCATGTACACTGTACTTGTCTTATGCTCTAGGTAGAATAAGGAGTCACCGAAACCCGGTTCCAATTATTAAGGCTCCTATAGTCACCTCAAGTTCCCTTTAAAGGAAACCGTACGGGTCCCTTTAAAGGAACCCTTATCGATCCCCCCATGTTCCTTTTGTAGGGACAAGTCGCCCTCCGGAAGGTCGGATGAAGCTTGGCAGCCAAGGCAAAGTTATGCACCCCCAGAGTCATTGTGTCCAACTTGCCTTGTCTTTTTCAGAGCTAGGGGGGTGTTGAAAGGGCTTAAGATACAGGCCTCAATGATCAGAATAGGGTTTTGGGGCCCATTATGATATGATTACAATGAGCAACCCCCGAAATAGTATTGGTCATTATTTAGGCTAGGGCTGTAGCGGCCTAGATTTCTGTCTTTGGTTCAGGACTTCATAACATCATAGGGACCCCTAGGGGGGTGGGGGGAACGGGGGGGGGGTAGGAACAGGCCTTATTAAGTCCTTGTTATGGGCATTAAGGCCCCTACCCCCCCCCCCCCCCCCCAAACCCCCTACCCCCTGGGGGTCCCTATGATAACATGGCTGCAATATGCCAAGATGCTTAACTCAGCCTTCTGCAAGGGTGAAAAAGTCATCCCGAGAGTCGGAGCCCTGAAACCTAAAGTCTTCTTCGTTCGAGGAGGCGGTCCCTGAAGGAGGAGCTCGGCAGCTTGAAATCCCAACTCTACTTCAGGGGTTTTGGAGGCTTTGGGTCCGAGTGGCCCAAGGCAGGCGAACCGGCGGCTTCTTCCCAGGCGACGTCATCGATGGAGCTGAATGGCCTTCTCCTGGGCTCTTGTTGAGGAACTTGGTTTAACTTACCATAATGATGATTTCGTGGGTTCTTGTTGAGGAATAGGGATCTATAGTAGATAGTACGGTTTCCTTATTTTGGCATCTTAAATGAACTCCTTTAACAAGAACCCAGTTTCGGATAGGTCAACTTCACCCACCGCAGTGGCTGGTCGTTGAAGCGATACGGACACTCAATGTCGGTGTTATTCAGAACGCATGGGTTGGCCAAAGGAAGGGCCACGAACTCCTTGGCACGACCACGGCGGCCATTTTCCGGAGGCGTCTGGAGCAAAGATGGCCCATCCTGCCCAACATCTTCGGAAGTCTCACAGAGCTGCCCGACTAGGCATTTCGAGGCATGCAAGCAAAGGAAAAGGCTTGCAAAGCCAGCAGAGACCTTGCAAAACTGCATCGGGTGAAGGGCAGAGGATGGGTGCGCCGGCACTCTTCAAGGCTGTGCTTTCAACCGCAATGGCTGGCACAGAAACTATCACTAGCATGTGGATGGGGGCCGTATCTTATTCATCTTGGGTTTGTCAGTGGTGGCAGGTGCGATGCTGCTGCCAGCTGCTGCTTGCTTCAATAAGCTTACCGTCCATATGTTCGTCGTCACGACTGTCAGCGTTGCGCTTTTCATCACTCTCGCGAAAGCACGTATCGCTGTCCTTATCACCATCACTGTGCTGACGTGATGTCGCAAGATCAACTGCTTCTCCAACATTGCAGTGACGGTTAAGACACAACAGTGGTACTAATTGTTATTGTGTGATCATGATCAAGGTCATCATCGTCATCATCAAGAACCTGCTTGTCTCGGATGCCAAGTACCTATGTCGATGGCATCTGATGCCCTGCTTTTCAAGCAATGGGGTGGGTGAGTTAGCGTCAGCTAAAGGTAATGCACGAGCTTAGTGGACACTTTTTTGTTTTTGACCCTGACAACTCTAGACGGATCTAAACTAAAGCCTTTGTTCGGACTGTGAGGCCGATAAGACCAAGGAAACACTCATGAGCAGAGTATAATGACAGCATATGAAGGAATCTTCGCTGGTTGTGGGAACTCCCAATGCGAAGCTGCGCACCACAGACACCAGAAAGTACCTGCAACTTCGGCTGTGAGGCTGAACAGCGGGATAGCGCACCACTTTTTAATTTGCTTCCCTGGCTGCAGGAGGATGACTCGCCGGCTTCGAGAGCTAAGATGCTAACGACGAAAGGATCCTCCCCTGCTTAGGAAGGGTTTAGGGTTTAGGCTTTAGGGTTTAACGGATCCGGGCAGCTAGGTAGAAAATGCGAGGCTGACTGATTCGATTCACCGATTCATTCGTGAATTCTCTCTATGACAGGATCATCTAATTTGTCCCCAATCCTAGAAGGAGCCCTTGGATTGCTCGAGCGTTCACATTCCTGCACTTGGTTCAGAGTTTAGGGTAGGGTTTAGGGTTTAGGGTCTCGGGGATCAAACATCTGTTCGCTCGATTCACTAAGACGTTTGCGGGGTCGGCTGTGGTGGGCTGCTGGGGGGGTTTGACTATGATGATTTTCATTCCTGTAACTTTGAGTCGTAGAGGGATTCTCACGAATACAGGTTGAAGCAGCGGCCAACCTCCTCCTCCGTCGGACATGAACATCGAGCTACATTTGCCACTGTTTTCAGGGCCAGGAAAGTGAGCCAATGGCTGATTTTGGGCACCGCTTGGCTTCAGGCTAAGGGCTCTTGGAGTTTTGTCTGCTGTGGGTTTGCTGCACATGTTGGAGCCCGTGGTTCAAACAGGGGTCAGGTCCAGCGCCAGTGGGAATCCGGCGCACTTCAATCCAAGAGAAGATGGTGCCCTTCGGTCGAGCTCGACTCGACATTAAACGCCTCGCATGCTGCAGCGTCCGAACGCTTGCCCCGTGAAGACCAATGATCTCTGAAACTATTCGACCAGAACTCCGTTTCGAACACCGGAACTAAATCACAAGGCTGAGATCAGCATAAGATCCAAGCACATGAAGCGTGAAGTAGTTGAACCGGCACATGTTTGATTCCTGATGTTCAAGATTTGGGATCATCACAGCCATCAATCTCATTCCGGCCATCACCACCAAGTCCATGACCATCACATGCACCACGATCACCAGCATCCTCACCCTCAACAGGAAACGACATCCCCCACAATCAGACTCATGAACAGGCACACAATCGCCCCAAGGGTAGACTGTGTTTATGGCAATCGTCACAACAATGGCTGTTAACAGCTGGAGTACTGGAACATGTAGTCGAAGAGTACAAGGTTCAGAACAACCAACACCAGCTGTCAGAGAACAATACCAGACGCCGTTCAAAGCGACAGCAGGGCAAAGAACTACTGCTTGTAAACTCAAACCCCCAAGCCCCCTAGCCCGCCCTAAAGCCTCAAACCCCAAACCCGTCGCCCTTCCCCAAACAACCCTGAGCCTCATAGACATCCTTCGACATCCTTTGTATGCAAAAAAACGAAAACCCTTAGAAGAGGCGACTGCGAGGCTCTAAGATGGCCAACTCTCGGAGTGGCCCGCGGAGGTTTTCCAGGCCGCAACGTTTCTTGCGGGCCCATGGTGAAACAGGGCCAGACCTAACTAGGGTTTAGGGTTCAGGGTTAGAGGGGTTTAGGGCTCGGGTTTACGGCAAGATCTCGAAGAGTGTTTTGTAGTAAACCGTTGTAAAACTCTTAGAAGGCTTCATAACGGCCTTCCCCAGACAGGGTCCAGGATTTCAGGGAGGGGCCTGATAGGCAGAAGAAGGGCGTTTAAACAGTTACAGTATGCTCCTACAAGGACCATGAGCAACCCTAAACAGATACCAAAAAGGAATCCTTAAGGATCCCTTTAGGCATTAACTGAGGGGAATACCATCCATCACTACTGATTCCGACCATTTAGTAACTATAGTACCCTGTAGATCCCTCTAAAGCAACCCCTGAATCAGGCTCTCGGGGGCACAGTGCGGCGACGAATTGCCCGTGTTGGTGGTTGGTTTCTGTGTATGCCTTCGCTCGGATCGGTTATAGCTCCTTCTGAAAAGTACCTAAACCCTAGACCCTAGTTGTATCCTGCCTCCCGAGCGTTCTTGTCCAAGAAAGTCGTAGAAGCAGTAGGGGGGTGTAGTATTTCAAGTTGCCCACCATAGTAGGTATGGGATTCCCGCTGCAGTGGAGGAAGGCATGTAACTGGGAACTGCGGACAGGCAGTTTTTGTTGCCAGCGCAAAGAACTTTTATCTGGAGCTATGGATTGATCCCGACTCTGGCCACGAGAAGCTACCTTCGCGTGATCCATGATACCAGAAGTACAGCCGATCATGTGGGCGCAGGTGCGGGTGCAGGCGCTTCGTCCCTGGCCGGCACATTCTATCATACTATCTCTGCGGTCTACGGCGCTGGACCTAAGGGGCGAAACAAAAATGGCTCTAAGCAGGATCGAAGTACACCTGTCTTTAGGATTGAGGGCCGGCAGGGACGATAAGAAACCACTGCCAACTGTCGTAGATCACGGTTCTCCGACGCTCTGTTCAGATATAGCCAAAATGCCGGCCCTAATCTCCCAGACCCGACAAGCCAACTCCCTAAACCTGCAGCGGGGCCCCATTTCACACGACTGACAAGCATAATAGGAAGACTCAGAACCATTGCATAAGAGAAATAACAATAAGAGGAAGAGTAATACCAAAAGTAGCTCTGATAGGTACTACTAACGACGGTAATGGTAATGGTAACTGTTTGGTAATACTGATAACAGGATGACCATGACGGTAAGGGCATTCCCCGCTTTCGAGACCGGACCTCCTTGGCGCAGGGGCTACCAGCGGCCTCCCGAAAGAGTGTCTTTCGGACGGCTCCGTGCTTCATTGCATGAGTTTGGGGCTGTGGGCTGAGGGTTTAGGGAAAGTTCAGGGGGCTTGAAGGCCTTGACGGGTTTCTCATGGGCATAATGTGACACTTGGTTGCACTACGAGACAAGATTTCCTGCCTGCTGACAAGCTACATGCTACCTTCTCTACTGGCAGGTGACTTTGAAAAACCCGAAGCACGCTCTCCAGAGGGGGTCCAAACCTTTGGCTCACTCGAAACATGCAAACTAAATGTGGGAAAAGGACACAACCTCGAATCCATGCCGCCGGTCACCCTGCACCCTATAGGTTGTGATCTACTACCGGAGCCCTGATGATAAGAACAGGATTTTGAGTATCCTATCGTGTAATTATGATAATTATGAGCAGGAGCCCTGAGGAAGAATCTCGTCCGCTTCTATACCATCTCTCTTGGGAGGCTCTTCTTGAAGACCCGGTGAGGGAACGTCGAGAACCAGGCCTTTTGCAGGTGTCCGTCAGCTCGCCATATTTCACCGCGAAGATCTCGTAATCCTGTGATTGAGGCTGAGGGTTCAGGGCTTGGGGCTTGAAAAGTGTTCAAGTTCAGGGTTTAATGCGGGTTCATGGTTCCGAAGTGCTACACAGCTGGTTTCCAACCTGGAGGGTCAAGCAAGGCTTAAGGTCCGACTGATTGCTGCTACTGCAAACCCTACTACTGACGCACTTGGATCCTCAAGGAAAACAGCATGTTTCGGCGCCTTCCGAACCCTCAACCCTAAACCCTCACCTCTAAACCTCTATGCGCTCCTCTAAGAGTTCCAGTAAAGGGTTCCTTCTAGGCTTCCTCTAAGGGCTCTTCTAAGAGTTCTTGTAAGGGTTCCTCTAAGGTAGGGTTCCTGTAAGGGTACTCAGAAAACTGGGTTCTTGTTAAGGGATTTCATCCAAGTCGCCGTAATAAGGAAACCATTTTATTTGCTATAGATTCCTTAACCCCTCAACCCTTATAGATGCCTTAATGGAATCCTAAACTATAGTAACACAAATAAAAACTCCTCAACAAGAACACAAGGCTACACCTTCAGGGAACCCTTATAGATCCCTTTAAAGGAACCCTTATAGAACCCTTATGGGTCCCTTTAAAGGAACCCTTACAGATCCCTTGAAAGGAACCCTTCTAGATCCCTTTAAGGGCTTTCGCTTCGGGCCTCCACCGAGCGGGGAAGGTCCAAGGTCTGGTAGGGCACCTTTCCATACCCCCGGGATCATGGGACTTAGTAACTAGAGTTATAAATAAGGTAACTATACGTATAACTCCAATTAGGGTACTTATAACCTTACTTACTAAGTCCCATGATCCTCCAAGTACCCCCGGGAGGATCTTAGTAAGTGATCCCCTAATTTGGGGCCCTATACTACTGTACTAAGGAACCCCCATTGAGGGATCTACTTTTTGGATCCTCCCGGGGGTCTGGGTTTCAGGAGCTTCGAAGCTTCCAGGGCTCTGGGAGATTTTGGGGTTCGAGGGTTGGGGGTTTAGGGGTTTAGTAGAGTTTAGGGTTTAGGGTTTAGGGGTTTAGGGAT